AGGGGTGGCGCCCCGGCGTTTCTCTCTGCCGTTCTGTTGTGCCGTCAATAACAGGCGACGCGAGAAATTATGCACGATATTGCGTTCATTAGAATTGCCTGTGACCTACGCTTATCGTCGAAACCGACAATCTCGTGTTTTTCCTAATTAACTTCGAAGGTATAAATTGTCTCGCAATATTTAGAACTGAGTGAACTAGCGAATATAGTGAACTAGAACTGGCAACTAGAATGATACGTTATTAATTATTTTACTGTTTACTGAGATTTTTAACTTTTTCTTTAGTTTATTTATTTAATGTCTCACAACGCGTGTACAATATAATTCTGAGTTACTGTTCAGTGAGAGATTTTTCTTTCTTCTTTTAATTTTTTATTTAATGTCGCATAATGCGACGCAGAGGCTCAACGTTCGTAGTTCAGAATTATAGTGTTCACCCGGTAGACGCGCCGCGCAGCTGTACGCGACTCCCGACGCACCTATCCCCACTCCTTCGTAGTCAGATCTGACTTATTTTCCTGCGAGCGTTGATTTAGATACACGCATAGCTCGTGCAAACTCTTAAAGTACAAAGAAACATTTGTCCGGAAGTGTCTCTCGTATTGTTTACAATATTTCTACTACAAGCACCGTGTTTCACTCGTGCTTTGATTGACGTAAAAATTGAATATGAAAATGGGGATCAGCGTAACGATCCACGCCCCACAGAGATCAATCACAAGAGCCAACATTAGCGATCAGATAAAAAGTCTGTCGATGTTTTCGTAAAATGACGGGAGTGAACGTTAAAAGTTCGAGCCTTCATACAGCTGAAGATAAATGCCCGTCGCATAAATTACGCCCGTCGAACATTGAATTCGCATAAACATTGGCGGACCCGTGTGATCGATAACCGCTCGTAAAAGGGAGCCATCGTCCCGTGGCAGATTCGATCGCCGTATTTATAGCGTCTCGGGGAGGAACCGGGGAAGGAAGAGCCGGAGGCAGAGGATAGAGCAAGAAAATGTAAATAACTCGTTGGAGAAAATTTCTTCAGAGGTAGATGGCGCTTTGATCTCTTTAAGAAAGCTCTCGCGCCATCGATACGCCATAAATTTAGTTAGATCCTGTTGCCGGCGTAACCGACGGCTCCTGTAATAAAACTACCGTCGCGTAAAAGCCAGATATTAGACGGCAAAGTGGCTCGGGAATCTATCTTCGTCCTTCTGCCGTCTCTCTCCTCTTCTCTCTCTTCCCCCCCTCTCTCTCTCTCTCTCTCTCTCTCTCTCTCTCTCTCTCTCTCTATCTCTATCTCTCCCTTTCTTCGTCGTCTTGGCTTTCTTCCTGATTCTCTTTCCTGGACCTTTGACTCTCTTTCCGTGGTTCTCTCTGGGTCTCTCTGATTGTCATTCTTAGATTCTCTACCTTTCTCTCTCTCTCTCTCTCTCTCTCTCCCTCCCTCTGAGTTGCTCTGGTTCTCTTCCTGGACCTATTTCTGGCTTTCTTAATTTTTAGCTCCTTTTTTGGCTTTCTTACATTTTGGCAGTATTTCTAGCCTTCTGCCCTTTGGCTCTCTCTCTCACACACAAACGCGCGCGCGCACATTGTTCGTCTCTCTGGCTCTCTCTTAGAATCCCCGATGCTCTCTTTCGGATTCCCTTTCTGACTTTCTAACATTTTCGCTCTCTTTCTGGCTTTCTTCATTTTTAGCACTCTTTCTGGCTTTCTTAATCTTTACCTCTCTTTCTGGCGTTTCTTTAGCGCTCTTTATGTTTTTCTTCACGTTTGACTCTCTTTTTTTTCTTCATTTTTAGCTCTTTTTCGCGTGATCGCTCGTCGCTTTTACAGGAACTCCGTAAAATCCGTTCAATTCATTCTTTATGCCAAAGTCGAATCTTTTCTTTTATTACACTTCACTGTTTCCCTTATTATTTCTTCGCATGATATTAAACACATATTCAAGACCGAGACAAGCGTGTTATATTTTAATAAAATACTTTTATTCTCTTTCTCTCTACCCTCTAGGTATGTATCTGGCTATCAGGCCGTGGTGGCTTTCCGGCTCTTTTTCTCTAGTTCTGGTCCTCTATCTCTCTGGCCCGCCGGCTTTCCGACTCTCTCTCTCTCTCTCTCTCTCTCTCTCTCTCTCTTTCTCTCATTTTCTCTCTCGCTCTCTCTCTTTCTNGCCCGCCGGCTTTCCGACTCTCTCTCTCTCTCTCTCTCTCTCTCTCTCTCTCTTTCTCTCATTTTCTCTCTCGTTCTCTCTCTTTCTCCCTCTCTCTCTCTCTCTCTCTCTCTCTCTCTCTCTCTCTTTCTGGATCTCGCCAACTTCCGCTTCATGTTCTGACTCTCCCCTGCTCGATGTCTCCGCTTTTCCTCGATAACCAAACGTGTTTACCCGATTGATCGTTCCGCATGAGTTTAGTTGAGGCGATATGAAAGTTTCGCTCGCATCTACCCGATTCCGAAAAGACGTTCGCCAATCTCCGGGAATGTGCATGTCTTTCTGCACGATTCCCTCGGAATTCGAAGACCTCCGCATTCGAGATTGTTAAACTCCTTTGGAGAAACTGCCGGCGTGTGTTCCCGCGACGAAATGGAGCGATTAATTGAAGAGTAATTGAGATTCGAAGCAATACTAGTCTCATTAGCTCTCGGGAGAGTTTGCGAGATACAGCTCTGTTGATCATTCAGGAATAACGTCTGCTCCAATTATCGGACAGGATACTATTTCATTCGTTATCGCTTAAATCAAATACGCCATTATTAAGAATCCGCGTTATCAGCTGACAATAGCGATAGAATCAACGTCTGATTTTAACGAATTTAACATTGTTTTTTTTTTAATTTATCTCAATTCGTTTGTCAATTCGTTTGTTCATATGTTTATCAAATCGGTTTCGATTCCGATTATAAACATTTCTGGGAGAAATTATTGCAGTCACATCAGTACACATTCAATCATTATAATTTAAGGGTTGATCGGAGATTTCATCATTGTGAAATTCATAGTCAATCTTAATTCAGTCATCCAGTGATAACAAACTTGAGTACTGTTTCAGCATCGTTTTGTCAAACGATGAAAAACGATCTGTTGGGGACTCGATAAATTTCTTTCGCGGCAAATCTGGTAGTGAACAAATCAGATAAAACTGAACATCCTGAAACCGAGAAGGTGCTGCTTCATTAAGTATCAATAAAGATCCTTGCGAAGATCTGCCGTCGTCTTAATGGCAAATAAAAGTACAGTGTAGTTCCAGCTGTTTCCTGTTATCGATACCAGCGACATACGCGAACGGAAGACAGTTTTTTTATTGCAGCTCCATAACAGCACGCATTAATTACCGCATGTACAATCCAACGCGTTTAATGCAATATTAATTCGAACAAGGTACCAAGCCTCCTTATCCGGCCTTTTATTACTCATTTACTTTGACGTAGCGACCAGTTAATCGGTCTATTAATCTCGCAATGATTTATGATGTATCACGATTGTCAGCTTAGCTGGCGTCGATGACTAAGTGCGGCTGGTCACGAATAAATCAGGCTAACATGCACTTACCAGAGAAATTACGAGTGTACGCCGGATATTCATGAAAACATGAAGATTTATAGACTGATGGAAAGATTTAGGGAAACCCTAATTAAATGTTAAGTTCCGAGCAATATTAAAGGATCGTGTGCAGTAGGAGTTACGTCAAAAGTGTTATTACTTACTGATTAATTTTATTATTATCGCTTAAATTCTCTTTAAATACTATTTTCATGAAATTTTGCACTAATGTATATTGTAAAAAATGAAATGAAATAAATATAAATATAAGTAAATATGATGAAAAATCTGAAATATTATAAATATAAGTAAATATGATGAAAAATCTGAAATATTATAAATATAAGTAAATATGATGAAAAATCTGAAATATTATAAAATCTAAAATATAATAAAAAGAAGTCTAAAATATCTATACAAATCACGTTTTTCTTTCAATGTCTCGGTACTGAATTGGAACAGCGATATGTATCTTTTAAAAAATAGATTCCTTATGGACGCGAAAAATTATTTACCGGGCAGCTTCTTTCGCGTGTCCGAAGATAATACGCGACTTCCGTTCTGAAGTCATCGTTACATAGAACGAATCCGTCAGATCCCGGCCGGGCTATTCTTAAATACGAAACCTTCGTGCTTCGCGTTACAGAGGAGAAACGGAGAGAAAGCCCTCCAACCGATTCGACTTGGAAAAATATACGGTGAAACGAATGTCTTCTCTTTCTTCTTTTCTCGCGGCACAATGCTCTGCGCTGTGCACTATTTTTCAAAACCTTCGCAAGATCACATTATTGGCAACGTTATTAACACGCGTTCCGTGCCGAGCTTTTTTTACTCGAATCTTCACACTTTGATATTTTACTAAAACTTGATGTATTACGTGCAATTATTAATTCTCGTACACATAACAACGTAACAACAACTTATCAACGCCCATTCTTGCGGTGGAAATTGATTCTTCGGTTCTAAATTTCTTGTAAACAATTTGTTCAGTTCACTAAGTAAACATGCAAGCGTGTACCATCGATGGTACACGTGGCACGGAACGTGTTAATGTCGACGAAAGATGAAAAAGTAAGGAACACCGACGTGTGTTTTATTATTATTATTAAAGTAAATCCTAATCACACACACACACACAAAATTATTGAGATCAAATTTTCAATATATTATTTTAGAAGCAATAGAATGTACTGTAAAAATCGTGTGGATAGTTTCCAAATATTTATGAACTGTAAAATTAGTAGATTAATCGATCTCGATGAACGCATTGTGTTTTACATTATCGCTATAGGCTAAAATAAAAATTTGGAAAACGTGAGTTTTGTTTTATCTTTTCTTTTTGTAATTCCAAGTAATAGCAACACTAAAGGAAAGCATTTCGACCAGGCTTGTTTTAAATAAGAAAAATTGCAAGAAAGTATTTTTGTGTCCCTTTTTTTACCTACGCACGCCGTCGTAATGTTTGCAGTATCGACTCGAGAGGACAAACCACCGTGGAGCAGGGAAAACACTGGCAGACTGTCAACCTCGATCAACGTGCCTCCTTCAAGTACAGCGGCCATACGGCGAAACTCACCCTCGAACATGTCCGTGAGACCGACGCCGCTGTTTACAGATGCAGGGTCGATTTCAAGCAATCGCCAACCAGGAACAGCAAAGTCAATCTCACAGTGATCAGTAAGTATTCACCGATACTGATTTTTCATCCGATCCCGCGATCTTTCGTTTCATTCGGTAACCACCCCTGACGAAACGATACTAATTTTAACGATACTGATTTAATAATAGAAATTTTTATAGAAATTTGTGCAGATTTTTATTAGAAAGACGATCTTACGCATTGAATATATGTATAATTTATGTAAGTTACCCAGCTCTACAAAACGCATTCTTTAAGAAAAAACGTTGGAAAAACTTGAGTCTTTTTATCTTTCTACCGCCATACCGAGTAATAGCAAAATTTAAAAAAAGAACTATTTTAGTCGTTATACGATAAACTAGTCCTCCTAACATTTAAACAAAATTTAAGTCCGGTTTTGAAAAAGTTATATCATTATACATATACACATTTGTTTCAAATACTTTTCTTACCCGCATTTCGAACTTTTCTGTCCCCGGCGAAGGACTTTCGGAACTTGTTGACACATCTTGATGAAACTTGGCGGACTTAGTTAAACACGTTGGAGCCCGCTCACAAATTTGTATACGTTATTACCATCAAGACTGGCAGTAATTATCGGCCGAGTAAGCGGACTGTTCCAGCCGGACGCAGACGGTTCCCTTCGGCCTCGTCCCAGGACTTCCTTTGATCCTTCCTTTTTTCCTTGCGCCCTAGACTCGATGTGCACTCCATTCGTCTCTTGTGTCCGTCTGTTTCATTCTCCATTAATCTCTTCGTCCTCCCGTTTCCTATCCTTTGAACCTACTGCGTCCATTACCTTCCCTTGACGCGATAATGCAATATTTTTAAATTTGCCTTTACTTAGTAATTTACTGCTCCTTTCTCCGCTACCGGTCTATCTCCTTCCCTGCAGCATACCCGCCGGTTCCATTTCATCAAATCCCCTTCCTCGTTTCTTATCTTCCCGATGATAAATATGCTTATGTCTTATTTATCTTATTAATGACGCCGGCGGAGACGCACCTGGCCTCTCTCTCTCGATCGGATAACGCCATTTCAAAGGAAACTCTTCTTGCGCCTTCGCAAAATGGCGGAAAACGTTTCATATCTTCGCAAAAATGTTCAACGCGCGTGCGGTGGTACGATTTTAATTAAATGGAACTTCTAGCGCCTTTGCTTCAGAGGAATGGCCCGAGGGTGCTAGAAAGCCTTTGATACCTCTCGGAAGAAAATATTCAGTGCGAGAAACATGAAAATAATAATAGTGATTCGTTGTCTTCGAAGCGAAATGGAGGCGGAACTTTAGCTAAAGAAAATTTCATCCAGGCTAATTGAATCTCCTTGCGCTTTTGCATCAGAAAAATGGTCCGGGGTGCTGGAGAGCCTTTGATTTCTTCCAAGGAAATTACCGAGTGCAAGAACTATATCAATGAAAAAAGTAATCTACTGTTTTTTTCCAATCAAATAACGGGGTGCAATCGCAGATAGATAAAATCGCGTTTAAATTAAACGAATTTCCCGACTACCGATTTCTAAAAGAAAGAATATCAGACGCAAGAAATATGTAACAATCATTAATAATCCACTGGTTTTTCTCTCAATCAAATTTCTGACGATCAAATTTTACTTGAATAAAATTTAGTTCGAATTAAACGATGCCAGAACAGCAACGATTCCAAAAAATATATAATAATCAAAATGAATTCCCTCATTTTACGAAGTCCTTCGGAAGACTCCCATTGTTTTGGAAACAAACAAAAAAGTATTAAACGTAAGGAATATATAATAATCGTAATAATTCAATGTTTCTCCTCTCAGCTGATGACAAAATTCTATGTAAATAAATTTCAATTTTTATTAAACGAATCTTCCCACAAGCTCGCTTCTGAAACATATCACGCGATGCGGAAAAAGCCACGGTCCTAATGAATGTATAACAATAACGGTATTCCACTGTTTTCTTAATCAAAATGAATTCCGTTCCCGCGTTCCGCTAAAAGATGGCGTACGCGCCGGAAGCAAAACATCGTCCGAATGAACCGGCGATCTCCGAAGCAGCTAATAATAACAGAGCGATATTTATCCCATCTTTTGAGCGAAAAACGTGATATTCAACCGACGACCTCGTGCACAGACACCGCGCACACGTCGCACGTTCCTCTCACAACTCGGCTTCTCCGCCATTCCTCCGTGTATTTATGCAAACACCGAACCTTCGCTCGGTCCCACACATCCAGCAAGAAAATAGAACGCGGAAGCAGCGATTCTTATTCTTACCCGCGTCCTCTTACACGCCATTGGCCAGGAACCGTTCCTTGCGCGCTTCCTTTCCGTTTCTCCTATTTTTCTCTTTCTCTTTCGGCGATTACGCGTTCTCGCTGCGGCCGCGCGACGGAAAAAATCCTCTGCAAATTACGCTTTTAAACCCGGACTACGTTTCTCCCTGGTTCCCCTATTTATTCGTTGCCATGTTATACGCGAAGTACGGTAGCAATGCCTATGAATTCCGAAAGGCCAGTCGCGGATTACTCGACGCGCGACGTCCGCGACATCCACGACGTCCACGAACATTCGCGACATCTGAAAACATCTCGAAGCAAATACGCCTCTAATTAGAAGAAATAACTTCGCCAACGGAGTGGTCGCGCCTTGATCCCGTTCGTTCGTGGTTTCAGTCGATGCCGAACAATTTATTTTCATTTTGTTTCTTATTTTTATTTTGCTTTTTATTTTCATTTTGCTTTTTATTTTTATTTTGCTTTTTATTTTGCTTATTTTTATCTTGCTTTTCATTTATTTTTATTTTTCTTCACCCGCGTCTGTACGTCTCGCGTACACTCCGGGACAACAACATGGCGCATCTTAAAAAATTAACGTATTTTTTATTCGTTCAACGTTACAACGAAGGTTTTCTTTTTAACTTATTTACTTAATGTCGCGCCTGCTTGATATATTATCTGCTCGATCGATTATCCTTTGTAGGATTACATGTGGATGTAATACGTACAGTAGTTTTTACATTGTGTTATCTGTATTAAACACTGCGGCTTCAACATTATCGTCTTAATCTAGATTCCGTAAGTTACTATATATTATTTCGCTGAACAATTTGGTTTCCTCTACATGTGACATAACTTTTGCTGTATTTTCACTGTTCAATTACGTTGTAATCCTACTACATTATAAGTCAATTACATTGAAATTCAATTACATTGCAATTCGTAATTCAGATCGCCATTCAATTAAATTATAGAGCAATTCAATTATATTGTAATTCAATTATATTATATTTCAGTTACATTGTATAAATAAGTAGTAATTGTATTAACTGAAAGCTTTCGGTTATGTAATTGCACAACTCTGTAGTAAACTAATCCCTCTAACATCGCAACAAAATTTAGATCGTTTGGCCCAACTATAAGAAAAGTCATTCCGAAAAGGAGTTCGAATACTTCGAGTCTCATTACAGTTTAGGATTTCATAAGTTCCTCTGTCTTTTCTTCTCTCTCTCTCTCTCTCTCTCTCTCTCTCTCTCTCTCTCTTTCTTTTTCTCTGTTTTTCTTCTCTCTCTTTCNGATCAAATTTTACTTGAATAAAATTTAGTTCGAATTAAACGATGCCAGAACAGCAACGATTCCAAAAAATATATAATAATCAAAATGAATTCCCTCATTTTACGAAGTCCTTCGGAAGACTCCCATTGTTTTGGAAACAAACAAAAAAGTATTAAACGTAAGGAATATATAATAATCGTAATAATTCAATGTTTCTCCTCTCAGCTGATGACAAAATTCTATGTAAATAAATTTCAATTTTTATTAAACGAATCTTCCCACAAGCTCGCTTCTGAAACATATCACGCGATGCGGAAAAAGCCACGGTCCTAATGAATGTATAACAATAACGGTATTCCACTGTTTTCTTAATCAAAATGAATTCCGTTCCCGCGTTCCGCTAAAAGATGGCGTACGCGCCGGAAGCAAAACATCGTCCGAATGAACCGGCGATCTCCGAAGCAGCTAATAATAACAGAGCGATATTTATCCCATCTTTTGAGCGAAAAACGTGATATTCAACCGACGACCTCGTGCACAGACACCGCGCACACGTCGCACGTTCCTCTCACAACTCGGCTTCTCCGCCATTCCTCCGTGTATTTATGCAAACACCGAACCTTCGCTCGGTCCCACACATCCAGCAAGAAAATAGAACGCGGAAGCAGCGATTCTTATTCTTACCCGCGTCCTCTTACACGCCATTGGCCAGGAACCGTTCCTTGCGCGCTTCCTTTCCGTTTCTCCTATTTTTCTCTTTCTCTTTCGGCGATTACGCGTTCTCGCTGCGGCCGCGCGACGGAAAAAATCCTCTGCAAATTACGCTTTTAAACCCGGACTACGTTTCTCCCTGGTTCCCCTATTTATTCGTTGCCATGTTATACGCGAAGTACGGTAGCAATGCCTATGAATTCCGAAAGGCCAGTCGCGGATTACTCGACGCGCGACGTCCGCGACATCCACGACGTCCACGAACATTCGCGACATCTGAAAACATCTCGAAGCAAATACGCCTCTAATTAGAAGAAATAACTTCGCCAACGGAGTGGTCGCGCCTTGATCCCGTTCGTTCGTGGTTTCAGTCGATGCCGAACAATTTATTTTCATTTTGTTTCTTATTTTTATTTTGCTTTTTATTTTCATTTTGCTTTTTATTTTTATTTTGCTTTTTATTTTGCTTATTTTTATCTTGCTTTTCATTTATTTTTATTTTTCTTCACCCGCGTCTGTACGTCTCGCGTACACTCCGGGACAACAACATGGCGCATCTTAAAAAATTAACGTATTTTTTATTCGTTCAACGTTACAACGAAGGTTTTCTTTTTAACTTATTTACTTAATGTCGCGCCTGCTTGATATATTATCTGCTCGATCGATTATCCTTTGTAGGATTACATGTGGATGTAATACGTACAGTAGTTTTTACATTGTGTTATCTGTATTAAACACTGCGGCTTCAACATTATCGTCTTAATCTAGATTCCGTAAGTTACTATATATTATTTCGCTGAACAATTTGGTTTCCTCTACATGTGACATAACTTTTGCTGTATTTTCACTGTTCAATTACGTTGTAATCCTACTACATTATAAGTCAATTACATTGAAATTCAATTACATTGCAATTCGTAATTCAGATCGCCATTCAATTAAATTATAGAGCAATTCAATTATATTGTAATTCAATTATATTATATTTCAGTTACATTGTATAAATAAGTAGTAATTGTATTAACTGAAAGCTTTCGGTTATGTAATTGCACAACTCTGTAGTAAACTAATCCCTCTAACATCGCAACAAAATTTAGATCGTTTGGCCCAACTATAAGAAAAGTCATTCCGAAAAGGAGTTCGAATACTTCGAGTCTCATTACAGTTTAGGATTTCATAAGTTCCTCTGTCTTTTCTTCTCTCTCTCTCTCTCTCTCTCTCTCTCTCTCTCTCTCTCTTTCTTTTTCTCTGTTTTTCTTCTCTCTCTTTCTTTTTCTCTGTTTTTCTTCTCTCTCTTTCTTTTTCTCTGTTTTTCTTCTCTCTCTTTCTTTTTCTCTGTTTTTCTTCTCTCTCTTTCTTTTTCTCTGTTTTTCTTCTCTCTCTTTCTTTTTCTCTGTTTTTCTTCTCTCTCTTTCTTTTTCTCTGTTTTTCTTCTCTCTCTTTCTTTTTCTCTGTTTTTCTTCTCTCTCTTTCTTTTTCTCTGTTTTTCTTCTCTCTCTTTCTTTTTCTCTGTTTTTCTTCTCTCTCTTTCTTTTTCTCTGTTTTTCTTCTCTCTCTTTCTTTTTCTCTGTTTTTCTTCTCTCTCTTTCTTTTTCTCTGTTTTTCTTCTCTCTCTTTCTTTTTCTCTGTTTTTCTTCTCTCTCTTTCTTTTTCTCTGTTTTTCTTCTCTCTCTTTCTTTTTCTCTGTTTTTCTTCTCTCTCTTTCTTTTTCTCTGTTTTTCTTCTCTCTCTTTCTTTTTCTCTGTTTTTCTTCTCTCTCTTTCTCTTCTGTTCTTTCTTCTCTAACTCTCTTTTTCTCCCCTTCTTCTTCTTCTCTCTCTCTTTTTCTCTGTCTTTTCTCTCCTGTCCATCTTCCTCTATCTTCCGTTCTCCCTATCCCTCTCTCCAGTCGTCCCATTCCAACACCTTCCACCCGCGACACCCTTTGATATTCTCAGGCTCGATCGAGGCTCCCTGCGATTAGCCTGAACAAACAGCGGATCCAGCCTTCCTGACCCGGATCCTCAGTTCAGCAGACCCACGATTAAGGGCAGTTTTATCTGAAAGCCGGTCGGTGGAAACGCGGGAAACGCGGGAATTCCGGGCGGCGACCCCGACTCGTCGCGATCGTAGCCGACGGCCGATGCAACGTCGATAAGTCGATTCTGCTCCGGAGCACTCCGTTCCAGATCATCCCGGGACCTCGCGTCCTCGTTGCCGGCTAGATCCGAGCGAATTTAAAACTGGAACCGCGGTACGGATCGAAATAGACCGATCCAAATTTGATTTTACAGATATCCCGAATGTTGGAAGTTCGGCAAGAACGAAAATGCTCGCAAATCTTCCGTGCTTCCAATCGACGGGATCGCAAGGCTTTTACGAGGATATTTGCTGGACGAATGTCGGACCATGCATATTTGACGAAGATTACACACGCGGTGTGTTAGTTTAAAACGGGTCAAGATGGGATTGATGTGCACGCTCGATTTTCCAAGTATTTTAAAACTGAAACGTCTCGGGAGATTGAAATGATTGGATTTGCATATATTACTTCTGCCATAGCTGAAATTGCTTTCATCGCACCGTCGTGAGTAAGATTTCTCGAATTTATATTTTACATGTAGCACGAAACGTTACGTGTATGGAACATAAATATAAAATACATATTTAGAAAGTAAAAAAGTGGTTTGTACAAATATATTTCAACAATTTTCATTTGAATTAAGAATATCGATAAAAATTGATTGAAAATTATCGTTTAACGAATGGATAAAGCATTCGATTATCTACCGCAGGAAACGACTATTTTTGTAAATATTATTGGCAAAAATTTCGTTGCGGTGTCTCGATTGGTTCAAAAGTTATAAGAGCATGTCGCTGAATTTCTCGATCTGGACCACTGGACCACAAAAACAATAATATAGGACAATGTTTACCTACAGTGAGTGCATATAACCTTGACATGACCTTGAATTATTGTCATGCCGGCGACACATTTATCATTTAAAGTGCTATAACTTTGCGAGGAGAAATCGTAGCGACATAATTTCGCCCTTGTATTAACACTATGCCGTCCGGTGGCACCACGCTGGTGCCATGCAAAAACTATCAGTTGTATGCCGGTGGTACCACTTTGGTGCCATTTTAACCCTTTCGCTACGGGCGGATTTTCCGCCGCGGTACTTCTGCTGGATGGCGCGCTGTGACATCGCTGCACGCTACAAGACGCCGATCGTTGCGAGGGTACCGCAGCGGAGAACCCGCCCGTAGCAAAAGGGTTAATCCAAATAAAGTTGAACAAAATTGAAAAAAATAAGGCATATCTATTTATCCATTGTTGAGAGAAAAATAAGGTGAATTATCTTTCTGCGGTAAGCACTGACTTTATTCGCTACAAACGATCGAACTTATGGAGGGCCACTATAGTGGCCCTTAGTACCTCGATGGCATCTTATGGAAAGCCACTATAGTGGCTCGTAGTACCTCGATGGCATCTTATGGAGGGCCACTATAGTGGCTCGTAGTATCGAAAGGGTTAAAAAACTGTAATAACATTTGAACTATATTTATTGGGTGTTAAAAGGCAGCAAACTAACTATAGCATTGTGCTTATTTAACTAAGAATTAACGACGAAAATTCTTGGATGACTTATCTTAATTTTAGGAATTCATATTACCGCCACCTTCGAAAGTTTTTTAAAAATCTAAAATTTCCAAGCTATTATGCCGGCGTCAAACGAAAGAATCATATCTAAGATCTGCGGACGGCATAGTGTTAAAGGGGAAAGTCCGAACTTTGCGTTGCTGTAAACGAGGCATGCTAGAAAAAAACATTTCCAGGTCCATTTCATTTTTTCGGTATCACGAATGTGCCCTCAGATTTAGTATACTTCAGTCGGTGTGAAGTAGAGATTTCAAGCTTTAATCTAAAGGGAAGGTCATAATTTTGTGATAGTTTTTGACGGAGCAACAGCTATCCAAACATTGACAATTTTTCGGCCAAGAATTAATGACGCTTTAATTTTGCTCTCGAGTGTAGAAGGACTTCGATTAATATGTAAATGAATGCATAACTAAATACACATAAATAAATACATAAATAAATACATAAATATTTACATAAGTAAATAAATAACTAAATGAATAGATGTCGAAAACTGTGGAGGATTAAAAAGCAGCATTTCCGGATTCCACCGAAAAGGGTAGAAAACCATAGGTCCTCTCGAAATCGCATGTGGATCGGTCGAAAGATCACCGGTGTCCCTTATCGACGCAATCAATTCCACTCACGGAGGATTTAATCGGTCCGCAAGGCCGAGAGGAGGACACCGTCGTCCATTTCAATTCCGCTTGTCTAGCTCGAAAACAATTTGCATATCATAAGCGGTGGCGGGTTCTTAAGTGCGCCGGGGGTTAGCGGGACGGCGCTGGGGTGATGGTAACGGCTAGCCAGATAAGAATACCAGCCAAAGTGTCTGGCGGATGACACACCGTGCTGGTAATTCATCGTCGTGCAAATTGATTCGCTCTGCCGAGCATAGCGGAGCCTCTCTCCCTTCCGTTCGCGAGACCGGCGACCATAGTATGCGGCCGTAAAGGGCGGAGGGGGAAGTCGCGGTTAGGGCAGGCGTAGAAAAAGGAATCGTAGAACCGAGGATCTTATATTGTGCGAAATTATTGCAGTACCGCCGGAGCAGCTTAGCATATTGGACGAGGGCGGAAGGTCGCACATTACCTACTGGGTTCTGGGCCCGTACAACGAGGGAGCATCCCTTAACATCACCTGCGTTGCCGCTGGAGGTGAGTACTATGCTTTATAATTTCCTTTTTCTCGTTGCCTCTCGCGTCACGTCACATTTGTTTCAATGCGAACTTATTTGCTGTTTCAATGAAAGATAAATATAATTGCTTATTATATTTGTATAAATCTAAATAAATTATTTAGAACAGCAAAATTGGTTTCTTATTTACGAATAAAACTTCAATCGTTACTTACTAATTGTCATTGAATTGTTTATTATTTATGATACATTCGGCAGAACACGTCGAATAAATAATAATTACATCGTAATGATTAATAATTTAATTAATTATTCAATTAATTACATTGTGAGTCGTGGGTAATTTAATTCAATTACGTCGTAATTCGTAGTTAATGTAATCGTAATTCATAATTATTGTAATTCAATTATTTGATATTTATTAATTTTACTCCTATCGAATTACTCGTCACATTGTTAGTTAATTAAATGGCGATCTGAACTACGAATTATAATGCAATTGAATTACTCTTGTTTCTCTGATTTTTCGTTTATTGCTTGCTCGTTTGGAGATGTTCTAAAATCTAAAATATATCAGGACGAACATGCTCAAGTACGATAGAATCTTAGAATAATGAATAAATGCCATTGCAATTTATGTTCTTAGAAATTGGGATTACTTTTGACTCGAACTAATGGACAGTAATTCTTATAGAACACTGAAGAGAATGAAATACGCTCTAATCAATAATGAAATAATAAAGAATGAAATATGCTCTAATACAATTCTTTGTATCCTATAAATTATCGCAATTTAATGTATTAACCCGAGAAAGATAACCTACGTCGCAGAGGCGCCTGCGAAATAAACAACTGACTGCACCGTGGATGACGCAAAGACTGGAAGCACCCACTTTGCCAAGGCATGTGCGAAGCAACATTGAAAATATTCTTCCAAAATCTGCTGTACAGGCTTCCACAGATGATGAAGAAGAACCCTCAGCCAAAAAAAGGCGTTATTGCAGTCTTTGCATGTCTAAAAAGAAAAGAATGTCAAAGATGACCTGTGCCAAATGCAAAAAGACAGTTTGTGGTGAACACAAGAAAGACGTTTGTCATGACTGTCTCTAAAGAAATTTTTTATAATATTATAGTTTTTTTTACACTGATTATATTATAGTCTACTAGTTTGTAAGGATAAAACACTATTTTTTGTGATATTTTACGGGATTTGTTCCCATAAACCGAAGACTGTTGATTTTTGTTAATTTTTCATAGAGGTCTAGTGATTTAAGTTTAAAATTACTTAAAATATAAAAAAATATAATATAAATGCATTTTATTTTTACAATAATGCCAAACCTTTAAAATGACTAGATTAACTTAAATAAATATCCATTGTTAGTATAAAATTGACGCCTTAGAAAAGCATGCGCCTCTGAAGCGTATGGTTATCTTTTACGTA